GAAACCCTATACCCTATAATTCTTGAGCTCTCTAAAGCCCGAAACCTTATAAATCCCATAAACACTAAACCCTATAAACCCAAAAACCTATTAACCCTAAAACCTAAGGTTGAGGTCTGCAGGGCTCCCCCCAAGGGCTGAGCCTCTACACAGGCTTCTTGGTGAAGCTTGCGGGGACATGACAACATCAACATCCAAGATGTCGAGAACCGACACTTCTCGGAAAGCTGAGGTTCGGGAGCCACCCAGACGATGCGTCACCAGCCAACCCGCCCCCTTAAGGCTAAGTAGCCCGGGTCTTTTGAGGCATCGGTTGAGGGGAATGTTAGCATCAGGGCCCCCTAAACCCTCAACCCTAAACCCCAAACCCTAAACCTCATGAGGGGAAAGGGAGTAGGAGAGAGCCTCATTCTACCAGCAGATCCGGGCACACTTCGGCCGAATTCGGCTTTCTGTACGCATGCCCTGGACACTTGGCATCCCTAATTACACACAGATGCTCGCACCTTATTCGTAGGGCTTAGTGGGCAATTTTTCGGGGGCTTACTAGTACTCGGGGGAGGGGACTCATGAGGTTTCAGACGTCAGGGCTTTGTAGATTTCGTGCTCACCGAGCTCCAGCGAAGAACCGGAACAGACGTGGTGTCGATCGACCCTAAACCCTAAAGCCGTGAAACCCTAAAACCCTAAAACCCTAAAACCCCAAAACCCCAAAACCCTCCAAACCCTAAAGCCCCAAAACCCTAAAACCCCACTCTGTGCTCAAGTCTCCACGGCATGAAAGCCACTTTAAATTGGCATCTCGGGCTCCTGGAGGTCCGATCCAAGGCCCCCCCCCAGGACCAGGGTTGGCCAGTCAGCTTCGTAGACATCCCTCAGCCCCAAACCCTAAACCCTAAGCCCTAAACCCCAAACCCCAAACCCCAAACCCTAAACCCTAAACCCCCCCAATGGGGGAAGTTGAGGATGGTTTAAGGAGTTTAGGCGAGGGAGCTGAGCCTAAACCCTAAACGGGAGCTGAGGTTTTTGTCTGTTTCCGGGGTCCGGGGAACCTGAGCTACCCTTCAACCCTCAGCCCATCACCTCCCAATCTTGCGCTCGGAGGGGGGGGATGGATGAGGTCAGAGGGCCTGGAGCTTAGACCACCACTGCAGAGGGTTCCGAGGTTGTAGCTGCAGGCCTCAGTGTTCCGAGCGTGGGGCAATCAGGGCTCCAGGCAGTTAGAGGGCTTCTTGGGCTTCGGGCTTGAGGCGGAACCTCTACTGCAACAAAGGTTTAGGGTTTAGGGTTTAGGGTTTAGGGTTTCTGGTTTAGGGTTTAGGGAAGGTGTAGACGGTGTAGAGGACAGAAATTTTTTTGCTAGGTTCAGATGAGCGCGGCCAAGGGGATCCGCCACTGGGCTGCAAGCTTCCAAGTCGAAACCCTCAGCAAACCTTTACAGAGTTGTAGGGCTCTTAAGGGAGTTTTTTTTTTTTTTTTTTTTTTTTTGGGGGGGGGGGGGGGGGACCTGTGGATCCTTTAAGGGAGCTTAGGGAGCCTTAGGGAGCAGGGAGTAGTGGGGAGTATACCCCCCCCTTCCGCCTTTCAGAACTCATAGCAGGGTCGTCAGCCGCAGACTTCAGGAAGTCGTGGGTGAGAGAAGAGAGGGAACGGGCGCAAATTGGAAGAGATCTCTTCAGGACCAACACAGCACCAAAACAGCCCTTCAGCCCTAAACCCTTGGCCCTACAAAAGCGTCCCCCAAAAAGCCCCGAAAGCCCGACGCGATCCCTTAGGTCCTCACGGGCTGGGCGGCTCGTCTCCCAGGCCCGGCCCGATGCACTTGCTGTACTTGCCTGTCTCAGAACCCCATGGGTTTAGGGTTTAGGGTTTAGGGTTTAGAGTTTAGGGTTTAGGGTTTAGGATGATAAATGCGGGCTTCCGGTTTGTAAGGATTATAGTATTTGAGGGAATAGTGGAGGTACCCCTATTGTGGGACTCAACAAGATATTGTCATATTATAATACAATGCTATGAAAAAAACACATACTGTATAGGGAGAGAATACTGTTTTCGGAAGAGAGCCGGCCAAAGCAAGAAGCCAAACTCTCTTCGAGTAAAGAAAGCCTTGTCTTGTCAGCTCTAAGGTCCTGTTTTGTGCGCTCTCGAAATAGTCACCTTGAGCACCAGCTTTCTCAGCTGGGAGCTTACACAGCCTCAGCACGCTGATCCCCAAAACTAAATCTGCACACCAAGCCTAGCTAGGCACCTACTCTCTCTCTCTCTCTCTCTCTCTCTCTCTCTCGCTCTCTTTTCATTCCGTCACGGCCGCGACGGCCAAGTGGTTCGTTCTCTCTCCATCTCTCTCTCTCTCTCTCTCTCTCTCTCTCTCTCGCTCTCTCTCTTCTTTTTGAAATACGAGGCACCCAGAGACCAACTCGGGGGTTGGTCGGGCGCAGGAAGGAGTGTTTGAGACCCCCAGAAGCCCCCCTGAAACCCAGCTGAATACCGCGACACCCCCAACCCTAAACCATAACACCCAAATACCCTAACACCCTAAAGCCCTAAAAACCCCAAAGCCCTAAACCCCTAGGACCCCAAAACCCTAAAACTCCAAACTCTTTCATGTCCAGGTCGCCCAAGCAGTGCGACGTGTAGTTTGTGAGCCAGCACTGCGTGCACTCGATGGGGTCCCACCTGACACGGCTCAAAATAAATTGAAATGGGGAATGGGGTGGCCTGACATTGGGGTTTATAGGGGGTGTAGGGTTTGGGGGGGTTTAAGGTTTAGGGGGTTTAGGGTTTAGGGTTTAGGGTACTGCTTCCACCTTCTTGGGCCGCTCAACGCAGTCTCTTCGGCCAAGCGTCCAGTGCAAGCACTGCGCCACACAGGCCGGCCAGGTTGTGGCCCAGCACACGGCGCCATCCTCGAACCCCCCCTAAACCCGAAACCCGAAACCCCAAACCCTAATCCCCAAACCCTAATCCCCAAACCCTAAACCCCAAACACTAAACCCTAAACTATACCATAGAACCCTCGGCCCCAAACCGCAAAAAATCCGTGATCGTGGGTTTCATGAGCGTTTCAGGCAAAGCCCTTAAAATTAAAGCTTCCCCCCCGGACCGGTACCATGACAGCACAGCGCGACGGGTGGTCAAGCCCAATTGTCTCCAAGATCCGGTTTTGGGCTTTTTGGGGTGGCCTTGGGGTGTGGCCTTGGGGTGGCTTTGTTTTTTTTTGGGGGGGGTGGTTTTGGCGGGTTTTGGGTTCCGATGCGCGCGTTGCTCAAGCTTTTAAGGTCTCAGCCTCCTCAGTGAAATCGCACTTCACACCACTGCCGAGGAGCCGTGATACAGTTGTGGCAGATGGACACGGAGTCCTTGCGACTGGAGAAGCAAAGCCCGAGGCCCTACACCGCAGTCGGAGTTGGGGGCTTTCTGGGCTTTTAGGCGCATATGGCGGGGGCCCTCTGAAAGCGTCAGCTTGGGAACTGCGACACAGCTTCTAGGAGCAGCCGAAGGAAGAAACATAGCAGCACGGTTAAGCCTGACGGTACTGCAATTCCATAGTTGCTCCGTCGTTTACAACTTGTCACGCACGTCACATACTTTGATGATGGGTTGCAAGTCGAAGACATGCCCAAAGGCCCCGAGCAAAGGCAAGCTAAGCTTTTCGCATTCCTGCCGCAGATGCATAAGTCTTCGACAAGCACCCCGTTCAGAAGGGATAGCAATCTTATGCAATAGCTCGCCAAGCAGAATTGCACAATCACGCCACGCTGCTCGTTGCAAAGTTCAAGGAGGTGGCTCAACAATCTAAGCGCCTAGGGTTTAGGGTTTAGGGTTTAGGGTTTGGGGTTTAGGGGGCTTTGAGCCGCAGGTGTCGAGATGCAATTCTTCGGTCTGTTCAGGGAACGGTGCGACCTGAGGACCTGCTTTCGGGGCTTCTATCCTGAACCTGGACCCCTAGCAAAGATTATGATTTTTGCTGTTTCTTGGGAACTATAGTGCCCAAAACTTTAAAAAACACTTCCAAGTTCCCCCACATGAGGGGTCCCGTTTCGCGCAGCTGGCTGAGTGGAAGGCATGGATATAATGAACTCGTGTACGTGTATACACATGGCGTTCTGAGTTGGGTGCACTTCAAGAGCCTGACTGGAGACACTCGGACCATGTGGCTCTCGGCGATCGTTTCTAACTCTTCGCAAAACAGAACGACAGGGTTTGAAGAATATCTGGGAAATGTCGATGTCATGTCGCACTGGGGAGTTTGCTTTTAAAGGTCCCTCCTCTTCAGTGCTCTACTTGCCTCAGACCGCAGCCCTCAATGCGTGAGCCCTTTGGCTCACGGCAGTGCCACGTACAGGCCAAACAATTTGACATGGGAGAGTTCTCACAGCCGCCAAACCCGAGTGAGAGGGCTGTTGGAAAATCGGGTATCGCACCATTCTTAAAAGTCTCCGAGCATGCGCTGAGGGGCACATGGTCTAAGGATGTGAAAGGTTTACGCCATGTGCCATGATGGCCTCCTACAATGTCCTACAAAACTGCAGCGGTCAGTCAGTGTCCTGGGTGTCTTGACGCTACCTGCCGTGTCTTTGCTCGCCTCGACTTGCTGTATGTTTGCGAAGGGAAAGAGAGCTGCACGCTCTGGCTCCGAGATCCTCAGACCGCAGCCCTCAATACGCGAGTTCTGCGAAGCTTTTGGCCTTTGGCTCACAGCATTGCCACGTACCGGCCAAACAATTTGACATGGGAGACTTCTCACAGCCGCCAAACCCGAGTGAAGGTTGTCAGCATTCAACTCACCGATGATTTCTCTCAGGGCTGTTGGGAAATCGGGTATCAGCGAAGAGACCTTGATTGAGTGAGATAGCTAGCAAAAAAAATCCGGAGAACCTTTCAGCATTTGAGGTGGGCACTGTACAGGAAGATACGCGGAGAAGTCCCGCAAACAGCACCCTTTGCGTGACGGGGATGAAAGGCCCGCGACCCTCAAGATGCCCATATCCTTCGATTTCTCACAAAGAATCCGAGCCCTGAATCGTCATGAGCTTCTTCTTCAGCTGCTCCAGCTCTTTCTCCTTCTGCTCCACAAGATCCCTGAGCCGAGCTTGATCTGGCAGCTTGTCTTCCACAAACTGCTTCAACTCCATCTTCGTCGTCTCGACTTCATTCATCTTCTGTTGCACGAAGCGCTTGAGCTCTTCCACTTGGCTGTTGTCTTCAAGCTGCCTCAGCCTTCTCTCCACTCGCGCCGCAAGCTCCATCGTCTGTGCCTGTCCTTTCTCTGCAGCCTGTTTCAGCTCCTGCATGTTTTCTTGCTGCTGCGTCACGCGCTGCTGAAGCTCCTGAATCCTCTCTTGCTGCTGGCCGATCAGCTTCTTTTGGTCGTCTCTCTCCTTCATATCCGCAAATTCAGCCATGAGCTTCTTCAATTCCGCCAGCTTCTCCTGTACCTCAAACCCTTCCTTGGGGATCCACTGCTCTTCATCCGTGCTCTGGACATCGTCGAGATGCGCGATGAACACGATGCATGTGGCATCCTTCACAAACTCCAAGAGGTCGGGTGAGTACATCAAGATGACTGGGAGCAAGAAGAATATTGTACGGGCAAAAGCCTCGTTCGCCAGCCATGACATAAAGCAGCGCGCTCTTGCAAAATGGTGACGCCGTTGGAAGCCCTCTTCACAGAAGTAAGGTCTCCAGAAGGGCTCCCATTCGGCTGCCAGGAAAGATGGCTCACGCAGCCGCAACACAATACCGACAATTGAGCCACAGACGTACATGAAAAACTGCTGCTCTGTGATTTCCTCTTCAATAAGTTTCTCTTGGTGGTAAACAGTCAGCAGAAGAAACATGTACAACATCACCTGGAGCACAAAAACTGTTAGGCACTCAATCACATTCCCCACATGAAGGTCCGTGTACACAGACACTGGCTGCAGATGTTTGCGCTTTGCCTCCGCTTGCACCTTGGGCTTGTGCCGCAGGAATACCACGGTACCTTGGTATAAGCTGTAGCAGAATGCCTCCACGACTGCAATGGCTGGAGAATACTTCAGGGTGCTGTGGAGGAGGACGAACAAGGCAGCACTCTCCCAAAGAGAGCTCAATGTCAATACCAGCTTTGTAATCTGCACTAGACCATGCTCCGCCAATTCCTTCTGCATGTCTTGCGCGCTCCGCCTATAGAAGATGCCTCTTAAGCAGACAGCACAATATCCCAGCAAGCATGCTGCACACGGGGTTGTGCCCAGCAACACGAGTCCAATGATGGTTTGCTGGTCATTGATCCAGTCATCCCGACTAAAGCTCGACAATGAGGCGGCCAGCCACAAAGACTCGAAGTTCTCGAAGCTCCAGGCTGAGTCCGCAGCCATGTCCTCCTCCTCAGTGAGCGTTGATGTCGTGGATGTGGCCGATGACATTGCCGCGGTCCACGATGTACTCGAGGTCCACGATGTACTCGAGGTCCACGACGTAGTTGAGGTCCACGACGTAGTCATGGTCACGGTTGTGTCATTATCATTGGTCATGGTCACGGCTGTGTCACTGTCATTGGCCATGGTCCCGGTTGTGTCATTCTCATCGGTGTCATTGGCAGGCTTACCAACAAACAGAGCTGTTGAAGCGATGGAAGTGGTATGGCATGCGCAATGAATGGCAAACACGAGAAGGAGCATGGCGCACAGAGTATGTAGATGCAGCTCGGACGTGCAGGCTCTTCCTGCAACTTGATCCCGACATCATGAAAAACCCAGGAGGCACAAACACTTTATAGCCCCCTTGCTGACATAATATACAGGTGGCACAAGTCATGCTGCAAGATGCCGGGCCCCAAGAAGCCCACGAAACCAAGGGCCCTTCTTAATCGTATACTTGCCTTCTTTCAGTGGGCACCCCACCAAATTCAACATGGCCCTATAATCGGCAAGATGCCCGTTCAGTGTATGAACCCCACTTCCCAAAGATTTCAGGAGCCATACATGTGAGGGAGGGGATATATATATATATATACACATACACATACATATGTATATATGTACATATATATATGTATATATATATATATGTATGTATACATATATATATATATATGTATATATATATATATAGATATGTATATATATATGTATATGTATATATATATATATATTGTATATGTATATATATATGTGTATATATATATATGTATATGTGTATGTGTATGTGTATGTGTATGTGTAAAAGTATATGTATATGTATATGTATATGTATATGTATATGTCTATGTATATGTATATGTATATGTATATATATATATATACATATACATGTATATATAGATATACATATATATTCCTAAACAAAGGGGTCTGGGGCTGGGGCCTTTCGGGCTTGGGGTTTTCGGAGGCCTGGTCGCGTTGAGCGAGGCCATTTCTCTTGATTTAACTCTACACCCAGCCGCCAGCGAAAACAGGGTTTTGGCCTTTAGGACTTGGGTTTTTGGGTTTTTTGTGGGTTCAGAGTCCTTGCCTGAGACTCTATTTCCCTACAGTTTAGTAGAAACTACCCCTTTAATTATCTAGAAGGAAACGCCCATTAATCTTCCCAGGTAGGGCTTAGGGCCACAGCAGTGTGTCAAACAGCTTGCCGAGGCGCCTGTGGGCACAAACTCTTGGCCTCCTGCGCGGACGAGGCTTTGGGGGCACCCGAGACTTCTGAACTGCAAACCCCTTAAACCCCAAACCCTGAACCACAAACCCCCCCCCAAAAAAAAAAGAAAAAAAAACACCAAAACCCCATGAAACCCCAAATCCCCAAACCCGAAACTCCATGAAGTGGTCAGGCTTCTGGGGGCTTGGGATCTCACCTCTGCTTTGAGGGTTTAGGGTTTAGGGTTCAGGTGTTTTAGGGATTTTGGGGGTTAGGCGTTCAGGGTTATGATGCGTCTTGCAGACGAAGCCTCGCAGCAGCAGACCGAAACCCTAAAGATGGACGCCAACGGCCCGTGGTAGTCCTTCGCACACTGGGAGGTCATGCATTTCGCGCACTGGGCCCCGACCTCCATGTCTGTGATGTTGAAATGCTGGCCTGGGTTTTAGCTTGAAGGCTTCTAAGGGTTTCAAGGGCTTAGGGCAGCCCGGCATCTCCTAAGAACCCCCCCCCCCCCCCCCAAAAAAAAAAAAGAAACAACTCCAAGTGCGTACAATTATACCAAGAGGGCCCAAAAGCCTACAGACCTACTCTAAGTCTTGTAAACCCCAAGCCCCAGATTCACCCGCAACTACAGCGTGGGCTAATTGGAGCCTTTGCTGCGCCTGCACACGGAGTCTCCCGTGACTAGTTTGCAAACCCTAAACCCTAAACCCTAAACCCTGAACCCTAAACCCCTAAACCCTAAACGAGGCGCCGCTGGGCAACTTCATCAGTGAAAGGAAACTGCACCTTGAGCCCTTGGCTCAAAACGCCAATGCCCGCCCCCCGAAAGTGTCCCCAGGTATCCCACGAGCATGGGGCTGCTGTGGGTTTCAGGTTGAAGGCTGTTGGCTCAGTCAGCGCTGCACTTGAAGGAACTTCAGGGGCTGAACTTTCTGTACTTCAGGCCTAGGGCACAGGGTCCCTCACAAGGTCTCCGCTTTGCCCCCCCAAGGTTTCCCGTTGAAAGTGCGTTCTGGGCGGCAGGTCTCTTGGCAGTCGGCTTTGCAGAGGCAGAGGAGGTCGTTCTTGGCGCAGGCCGCCTCACGCAGAGCGGCCCGACACTGACCCCCCCCCCCCCCCCCCCCCCCCCCGAAAAAAATCACGGGAACACAATAAACCAAGACAACCTGCCAGATTTCATGCCCGAACACAAAACCTGCACAAAGGAGCCCCTAAAGCCCTTAAAGAGACCGCCCTCAAATTCAAACCTGGAAGCACCTCCATGATGTTTTTTGCGGGACCCGTCGGACTCCGCGCCTTGGGATCCGAGGAGTGGTCGCAACCCTGAGAGGGCTTCGAAGGCTTCGGAAGGCTTCGGAAGGGGCCTCCACCCAGCACCTGCCTGAATTCGAAACCGGCTTAGAGGTTTTGAGGGCCCCACCATGACAAGGAGCCCTTGTGTAGCATTTTGCGTGCAGAAGATGCACCACTTGAGGCAAAGGGCCCACACCACACAAAGCACCTTTCATAACCCTAAACCCTACAAACCGGCTTGCAAGAGGCAGAGGCCGGACATCGCGTCATGCCCCTCACATATCTCGCTCCTCCTGTGTGAGCAGGGTTGCCTTGCTGGGGCGGTCCCCAGAATCAGAATTGTAGCGTTTGGGATCTGCTAGGGGGCACCCCTGTTTCCATAACCCTCTCTAAGCCCTCAATGAAGTGCACCTGCAGAAATGCCGCCAGCAAAGCGGACAGGAAGTAGTGATGCCAAGGCCAGCCATGGCCTTCGAGGTTGCAAGCGCTGTGAGATCTTCGAGGGAGACTTTAGGGGTGTTCAGGAGCTTTTGCTGATGGCCTTGGGATTTACGAGCTGCACCTCTTGTCTCCAGGTGTTCTACGAACCTTAACATGAACATGCGTCCGAAGCCGGCCTAGAAACCCACCCTGTAATTATTGCGTACAGCCCGTAACCCTGAACCCCGAAAACTGGTCCACTCTCCTGCCAAGAACAATTTCGGGGACCGGCAAGGTTCAGGGTCAGTCGTGGTTGAACATCCACGTGCACATTTGCCAAACTCACCGGAATGCGTCCGTCATGCTTCGCAATGGATGCGAGGTGGTACAGTTGGGAGCGCCGAGGGGCTCGAAACCTGCGCCCCCACGCTCGGCAGCAATGGCAAAAGCTTCACTGTACAAAAATGCTCCCACACACATACACACACACACACACACCTCATGCAAACATGCGCTCTAACATGACACTGACCCTCGTGTCATGATGCCTCTGATGTGCTGTGCCCCAACGTCCCCAACGTCTACCCTTCCAGCTTTGGGCCTGCACGCCACAAGCTGCGCGACTATTGCGATGCACTCGGGCAACCTCTTACATCCTCTCTTCTTCAGCTGCAGGCCGTGTGTAAGTGCTGGCTTTCTTGCTTGAACAGTTTCCGGCATGCTCAAGAGGATGGCGGAGATCTCCACCACAAGCCCTGCAACATCCCTGGGGGTTTCGAAGCTTGCTGATACGAGCGAAGCGTGGCAGATCTTGAGCAAGCGACTGGTTCATTCTTACCGGGTATTCTGGCCATGAGCATACCGTACACCATCTCGGGCAACTTCAAATGACCCAGGGATGACATGAGTAGTACCCTAAAACCCTAAACCCTAAACCCTAAACCCTAAAACCCTAAACCCTGAGCCCTAAAGTAAGTACTACTATATGGAGCTCCAAGTAGCTTATTCCCAAACACCCAGAGCAGAGAGAAGCCCCTCCAACCCACAGGCAGGGAGACTCTGACTGCCTTCCTTAACCCAAGGCCCTTAAAACGACTTAAAACCTGGTTTAGGGTTTAGGGTTTAGGGTTTAGGTTTAGGGTTAGGGTTTATAAGGTTTAGGGTTTAGGGTTCAAGGTTGACAGTAGCTTTCCCGTTCGTTAGCTGAAATCTTCAGCAAGAAGCCGCCTTCCAGGGCTCCAAAACGAGACAAATTGCCCCACACCCCTTGGCACACGACTCAAAACCTCGCTGTTGCGCCCCACTTTCGAGAACCTTATCTCTGCAAGAAAAAGCTAGAAGGCTGCGTCAGCTAAGCTAAGCTTACAGCCCTCCTTCAATTTTGTGCTGGTTGTACACATCCAGGGAAGCCTGTGACCTTGAGCAATCCCTAAGCCCTAAGTTCAATTTTTGCACCAAAACCTATGACCTCAAACCACTGAAGCCCAAGCATCACCCCCTGAGCATCAGGAAACCAGAAAATACCCAGGTATATGTGAATGGAACAGCTGCGATGGCTCGCGCACTCCTCCGAACTCCCAAGCTCCCCCCGCGTTGTGCGCCCGAGGGGTTTCGGGGGGTTTGTTTTTGCCCGGAGCATCCTGCCACTTGCAAGAAGCATGCACGCGGGGTCTCGCACCAGTGTCCATCCGGCCTCCTATGTGAGAAAAAAAAGGAGAAGGCGAAGTCTCTATTTGCGCCCCCATCTGCCCCTGCGTCGTTCCTCTGCATACTCTTTCGGGCTTGTCTGGAGCGCCGGCTTGCCGTACGACACGTCCATTCGGAGAGCATACTTCAGTCCAGACGTCACCATCCCAGCCGCGATGGTACCGCTCATGATCAAAGATGATGGCCCCACCGGCAGTAGGTTCAATAGGAACCAGGCGATCCGATATGAAGGTGGTTCGACCCCCACTGAAGCCTGCATCAAGTAGACTTGCAAAGTCAGGTAGCTCCGACCTGCCTCATCTCGTGAGCGCAGTCCGTATGATCAGCGTGGTGCATCCCAGGGGTGTATTTCAGAAGCGGAGTCGCCTGTTCAGACCCACAAGCTGGTTCCCAGATCCTTTGGGATATTCCTTGGGAAGCACTGCCGCCAGGCGGCGCGTAAGCGCCATGGCGACGAGAGGTGCATCCAACAAGCAGCGATAGCAAAGCGGGCAAAAGGGTTGAAACCGCGAGAACCTGGCATCTTCAAAGCCAACATGATGAAGTCCTTTCTATGGCATGATGTGTATATATACACATAGATTACGCACATGTATGTAATTGTATACCATGAGATGTTCACCAAACCCAAAGACCTAAATCTGAGATCCTAAATCCTAAGCCCGCTCTGACCTCCCGCCTGCCAACCCGTAGCCCTCCTTCTCTGAGAGGTCGATTAACTTCTGGCACTCCTCGGGAATCAGAGCCGAGTGCTTTGAAATGAAGCCTCGCTCTGGCTACGGAACATCTGCAGGAACTTCTGTGGGTCCTTGTTCTTTTGTATTGAAGGTGTAGGGTGTCGGATGCACGTGTCCTTTACAGAGTTTCCACGATTAGTTGCTTAGGCTGGCAAATGAGCGCCTGACAACGAAAATCCTGAGCACCCCGAGACCCTAAACCCTCACATGCAAAACCTCAACATCAAATGGATTCAATTCTCATGTCCCTTATCTCGACTACCCAAATACAACAAAATCCTCCCACATCAAAACTCCAGTATTGGCTCCAGCTCGCCTGGTCGCTCAGGAGTCCGCGGAGCTCCCGGCAAACCTCCCCCCGAAGATGCTGCGTCTTCTCTTCCAAGGGAACTGGCTCTCCTGGCTCACAGGTGGGGGGGTTCCCCGACATTCGGGGTACCTTATTGGCGTCCTATTAGAATGGAATCCACTATTTGGGGGTCTATAGTTGGGGTCTATATTAGAAGCCCCTCATTTTCGGAAACCCCTATAGGTGTAGAACTGCAGCTACGCGTCGAGTTGCTGTGGGTCGTAGCAGGAAGGTCGCATTCGCAGGCGGCCAATACATCAAAGGTTACTTTGTGCTACTGCTACTGCTACTACAACTACTATTACAACATCTACTGCTATATCTGCTGCCGGATAGAAAACATCCGGTCCTGGCCCCAAAGGGCTCTGCGCCTCCACTGAGCCAGCAGGGCCTCAGCGACTTCGGTCGTCGCGGATTCGTTCAGGCAAAGGGCCACGCGCTGGCCGTCCAGAAGCACAGCACTTCGGCCTCCAGGTATTGACCTTTCTAGGAAGTTCCGGTATTTCCGGGCCCAAAGCATCGGAGATGCGGGAGACCTCCAGTTTCAAGGACGCAGAGAGGAGGCGGCCAAACTAGGCCAATCCTCCGCGGTCTGGTGACTGAAGCCTCGAGCAGCATCTCCAGAAGCGCTTTCCCGGAGCAGTTCCACGAGCATGCGCTCACGACATGGATGCCCGCGGCTGTTCACATCCACGTTCTCTGTCCGCATGCGATGCTCCCACGCATCAATGCTACTGCCTTGCCCACAGAGCGCAATGCAGATCTTCCTCCGATCCAGCACAGCGACGCATCCTGCCAAGTTGTTTGCCACGGCAATCTCCCGGATCCGAGCGCCATAAGCCTGCGGCAAACCGTCGTGCAGGCACTTCACGGGCCAATCCAACTGGAACAAGCCAGCAGGAGCCCTTGGAAGGCGCGTCAGGCGACGTGGGCTGCGAGGCAGGCTGCAGGGGTTGAAGCTGCAGCTTGGCTCTCAAGTCCATGAGCAGGATACCCAGGCGGTTCTCCCCCTTTTGGATGGGATGTGGTATCCCCAAATGAGATCGGGGCTTCCGGAATGGCCATCCACCAACTCCCTCATCCCAGTCGAGAGCAGCTGCTTGCGCAACGTGGGGTCTTCAAACTTGGCGCGGGAGGCAGCTGGCCATGACCTCTTCCCTGAATCTCCTTCCAATCCTCCCTCAGAGGAACCTGCAGGAGGCTCCACCAAAGAGTTGAGGGTTTATGATTTATAGGGTTTAGGATTTATAGGGTTTTAGGGTTTATTTCGGGTTTAGGGTTTCGGGCTGAGGGTTTAGGGTTTAGGGGGACTCCTACTCCATTCCCACCGTCATGGCTGCTTTCCACCCTCTTTTGGTGCTGATTGCTAAGGCTGCTGCTGATTGCTACATCTTCCCGTCTCCCTGTACGCGCTTTGTGAAAACTGCCCCAAGAACCTGGCGTCCCAAGCGCTTCGCCTGTCCAAAGCTGATGGATTCCGTGAAGCCCCAAGCCAGGCGCTGCGTGTTTTCGCGCAACTTGGCGGCCTGGGAGAACCAAAAGCACCGGTGTTGCGCTTAATTGGCGGCTACATCCTTCACAGCCCTCACACACGCACTTCTGACCATGGGTCACTGGATATCTTTGGCACATCACTTTAGGGAAAAGATGTTGCGAGCCTGGAATGCGTGCTCCACGGAGGGGTACCGTAGGCCCTCGAAGTTCAGCGGGGACCAGAAGAAGTTGGAGAGGAACTGGTACGCACCTTGAAACCGTTCCACCTTCCCTTGACGGGGTATCCTCTCCAGCTCGGCGACTTCTGCGGCGATGGGATCAGCCGCGCAGCTGTCTGGCTGATAACCGTTGCGGCGTACGCGCCACGAACGCCGCGACATCTCTGCCCAAGACTGCCGAGATCAAACCAACTGCTCTAAGTCTTTAAGCATCCATGGCGCAGAACTGCTGCTAGTTTGAGGTGCAGTCATGGAGTCATGGCCGTGTGGGAGTGGAGGCGATGGAGGGGTGGAGGAATCATTGTAGCAGGAAGCGTCAACTCTAGTTCGTCACTCTTTAATAGTCCTGGACTTGATTTTGTGGCAGATGCAACATCGGTCGTAGTGCTGCCACAGCTGTCTGAATCCAATGCTGCTGTCTTGACTTGAAGCTGACAAAGTACATCGGTGAGGCTTGGAAGGACGAGTGTGCTCAATGTCCACGGATCTGCAACATCGAGCTTGATGTTCTAGCGTAGATAGATCCCAGACAGCTTGCAGAATCAGACGCCGTCGTAACACACCTGCACTGATTCAAACTTCTTTTGTTTTGCCCACCATCGCCATCCCGAACCACACCTTCCTTCCTTCCTTCCGTCGCAACAGGCCTCGCTCTCTCTCTTTTCCTGTCTTCCTCTCTTCCTCTCTTCCTCTCTTGCGCTTTTCCTCTCTTTCTCTCTTTCTCTCTTCATGTCTTTCTCTCTTTCTCTCTCTTTCCTCTGTCTCGGCTCTCTGACTCTGGCTCTGGCTCTGGCTCTGGCTCTGTCGCGAACGTTACAAGGGTTCAGAGACACGCACACCGAAAGTACCACGGCTGCCACATGAAACGAGGCTCTGCTTCTCAATTTAGGGGTCTGTTTGTTCTTACTTCCTGCTTGGAAATGCTTTAAGCTCGTTTTTTGTTGTGCATGGTCAGGGTTGCGGGTTGACAGCACAAACTCGTGGAGATGCCGCAAATAGCACCGTCTTGGGCATGTTCGCAAAAGGCATAAACACTTGAACAGCGCGTTTGGTTGCAGAAACATTAACCATTCTTCTGCAGTATGTCCTGCGTGAAAGGCAAAAACGCTGAACATTCCTGTGTTGTGGGCATGCTCACACAGGCTTGCGGCAACTTCAAGGAATTCCTACTGCAGCATCTCATCCAAACAGCGGCAAACACTGCAAATACCAGTGTTTTGGGCATGGCTATTGTAAAATAGTCGTAACCAGCCCCACACCCCCCAAAAAACGAACAAAGGGGCTTGCTCAAAAATGTCCCATGTGAGTGTGCCAACTTTGGAAGCTGTAAGCAGAAGTAGGCACTGGAAGCTACAAGCCAAGAATGCAACGTCAAGCGTCGCAAGCCCCAACTTGCGGGGACAAGGCGCGACAACCTCATGGTCGGTCATGGCAACGCATTCTGCACAGCTCTAAATGCTGTGTCAGTTGCTCCAGCGTCAGCGCCGATAAGACACCCGACTCGTCTACACTACTTGCTTCCCACAACGTGCATGACGACTCTGCTTCGCGGAGTTGAGCAAGCTGAAGTCCTACCAAGAAGGAGATGTTGGTTTGGCAAAAAGCCTCACCACCTCCTACCGTCTGACCAGCTGCAAGGAATGGGTCCGAGAACGAAGACGCCGCAGATGAAACCGCCCTCCAATGCGCAATTTCTTCAATCATGGCCGGCTGATGCTGATGAACCTCTCCTTCGGCGGGGCACCGCAGACAGTGTTGCTTTATCTTCTCCCGTGAACGGGCAGTACGCATGTACAAAAAGTGTCGAACCTGTCATGCACATCGCGCAAACTCTCTTACACAGGAGCTCAGGTCAAACGTAGGACACATCCTAGGAAATCTCACAAAGAAGATCGTCCAGGGCACTCGTCGCTTGTTCGCTGTCACGCAAACCGGTTCGTCTAGATGTTTTGAGATCACACAAAGCAAGCTCCTACAGGATACTCTTCACTGTCTTGCTGCGTGCGATGCAAGCTCATATTGACAGAGCTGGTTCGATGCATGCGTGTAGTCTTCATGCGTGCGAAAGAGTTCTTACATAGAAAACATCTTCTGAATTCTCACAAAGCAAGCTCGTCTAGTACACCCTTCGTTTGTCATGCAAAGCGGTTCTGCAGTTCGAAGCAGCACAAGCGAGCTCATGCTCATGCAGGAAACACTTGCACTGCAACAGCGATAGCAAAAATCGCCAGAAATATTGGTTAACAACACCTCCCCAAGACAACCGAGGAGTTTTTGCTCGTTCTAAGATTGAATGGACTTTTTGCCCTACTCTAATTGGAGTAGACCCTGAAAATGATGTGTACTTCTTAGGGATAAGTAGCGAGAATAGGAACCCAGAACCAACAAAAAGTATTAAAGTATAGTACTTTATATAGTACTCAAAAAACCCAGTTTACATACCTTCTATTCTCGGTTCCCATCGCCTGCTGCAGCACTTCTCTTGGAAAGGGCCGCGAATGGGAGTGCGGTTCGGAAAGCCTTCTGCACCTGCAAGCCATGGCCAGAAGTGGCTTATTTAGGTACCCCAAGAGCCCTTTATATTTTTCGGGGCAATATTCGCTTCAGCAAGTATTCGCCAAAATCTTTGACTTTACTGTATATCCCTTTAATAAGGAACACACCTTGAATCAGATTAAGGACCCTTCTATGATTTCAGAGTATATTCCTACCTGCAAGCATGGCGCTAGAAGTGGCCGAATATAAGTACCCCAAAGAGCGTTTAAATATACCTCTTGCTAGAAGTGGCTTCGATAGGCACCCAAGAGCCCTTTATACCCCTTAAATACGGAATATGCCTTGAATCATGTTAAGAACCCCTGTATAATTCAAGGTCGATTCCTTCATTAAGGGATATTGGGCTCTCTCTGGCTACTCTGTAAAAACCCTAAACCCTAAACCCTAAAAAGGGGGTGGGGAGGCATGCCACCGGAGGCCGCCCGCCGGCAGCTCGCTACGCACTCCATGATCTGCCAGGGAATGGGTTTAGAGTTTAGGGTTTAGGGTTTAGGATTTAGGATTTAGGGTTTAGGGTTTAGGGTTTAGGGTTTAGAGTTTAGGGTTTAGGGTTTAGGGCTTAGGGTTTATAAGGTTTAGGGTTTAGGGTTTAGGTTTTAGGGCTTAGGGCTTCGGGCTTAGGGTTTAGGGTTTAGGGTTTGGGGCTTGGGGTTTGGGGTGTAGGGTTTAGGGTTTAGGGTTTAGTGGAACTAGTCTTCAAAAATCAAGAATAGGCTGAGTCGCCCGAACCTCGAGCTTCTCCATAGTTGGCCAGAATTCTGGGTACAGGCGTGCCATGGCCGCTTGCGTGAAAGCAGCACAGCCAAAAATGATCAGGGCAAACGGCTTTCTGGGCCGCCTTGTTGGCGTCACGGGACACCTCCCATGAGTACCAAGCCATTCCGGCAAATCCGTGGGCTTGGGAGAACAGGAAATCTTGCCGAAAAAAAACCGCGATGGCTTTCAGTGTATGAGCACTCTGCTGCCTAGAGATCTCAGCCGAGCAACAATCTTCGACGTAACTTCGCCTTCGACGTAACTTCGCATTATTCGTCGTGCGAGAACACACAATCTTCGACGCAATGCAAGCCAATAGTACCCTAGGACCCGGCATCGAGCAGCTGGCGCAACCTACCCTTGAGCAGCTGCGGCGCGGCCAGGGGCTCTCAAGCAAATCCGGCCATCGCTCATGGCAACAACGCGGCACCAAAGGCTTCCTGAGACCCGAAACTGCTAATGGCAAAGTAGCTTCAAGTTGATTTCCCGACATGAATTCAATATCAACTGCCCTACTTGGAAGCTCTTTGGACATAGTAAGTCTACTTTGTTATCCCCCTCGAAAGCCGTTTATAATGCCCACAATAATACACCTTTAAGGGCTTCCGAGTAACTACCCTGCCAGCATCGCAGACACTCGCAGATGCTTCAATCACCCCCCTCCCCCCCCCCCTCTAACTTGCACGGAGCACAGACAGGTTTGGTGGGCTATTTGCTGGGTAGGCGAACTGTGAACGACTACAACCGGATTCGTGGACTCGGGGTGCGGATACCTCCCGCGCCATTTTGCTTTCTGCAGTCGGGTATGGCAGGTCCGATGCTTTTGGCTGGAAACCTCGGCGGTGCGAGGTCTTCAAGGGGCCGAGATCAACGCGAGAAAGCAAGCTCTTATAGTTGCTCTCATCAGCATTTACGTCAGAGCCGTCGTGTTTCTGGCACCTTCAGCGCCACCTGACTGCGTTCCGAGCTCGTGGCCATGGAGGCACTTCTCCGATTGTCAAGGAATCCTCTGAGCAGGTTTTGGGGATTCAGGAGGCAATGCCAAGTCGGACTAGCGTGGAATCAGCATAGGTCTAGTTAACCTTTATACTCTACGATACCGGTACTTGCATAAGGGGGTGTTGAAGGAATCTGATTGGAAGCCTAGGACTTTCACCTTTGTGCGTAGACAACACACAAATGAGAGGTGGAGCAGCTGAGAGACCCTCGGACCTACACAAATCGTGTGCCCCAATCCTTGCGTAGTTGAACAGGTCGAGGCGTCCCCAAGATTCCTATATTCTATTGCCTATAGGCCTAGGCCTAGACAAGGTCCGTGTAGGAACAAGTTGGATGCTTGGCGCCGAGACGCAATGACCCCGAAACGTAAAGATTCGTCGACACACATGCGGCAAACGATCGCATGCCCCTCTGAACCCTAAACCCTCAACCCTCAACCCTAAACTCTCTCAGTGCCATCCTGCGATCCTGTGCCCACAAAGGCTCCTGGAAGACTTGGAGACAATTCTCCTCCGAAAATCCCCAAAAACTCCCACCTCCAGGATCCTCTTAAGCCCTCCTAGAGTCAAGAGTCGCCTAGGCATAAAACCCAAAACCCTAAACCCTAAGCCCTGTTTGGTTTAAAGGGGCTGATGACGGAACCTAAACTCCCAAAACGGGGAATAAGGGCCGACTTTGAGGCCCAGGGTGGTCCTGGCGCCAGACGACGCTGAACCGCTGCGCACCGGGAACGTCCAGCAGTTGCCTGGAGACGTCTCTGCGGTGAAGGGGCGGTGATGCAACAAGTTATTGAGGGATTTCGGAGGTGAGAAGGTGACAGAAAAGCATGGAATCTACCCGAAGATGCTTCGCTCAAGCGAAGCCCTGCGGACGCATGATGCAGTGCCATTGGCCCCCTTTTCTGCTCGCAATCCTGGCCTCCAAGCATCACTGCACCGAGACAGGAGGTCTTGCGAGACAGACTGCTTTCACAGCAGCAACTGCCCTACGAATGATTTGAAAACGCTAAGTTCTGTGAGGATATGTTCAGAAGAGCAGTTCCTCGAGTTCGTCGAAGTCGCTATATGCCTCCTAAATGCCTATGATCCACACAAAGATCTTTCAACTATGACGCCCGAGAACTCCTCTCAGTCTCTCCGCGACACCCAACAACACTGACCTCCGTCCCGAAGGCTGAAGACCGATTTGGGACATGTTGGGACTCTGCGAGATTCCCCCGCGTGAGAAGGTGCTGCGGAACTGTGTAAGAATTCTCGGACCTTGAGCACAGCCTGTCGGGCCGCGCAAATAAAAGAGGCTCTTTTGTGAGTCAGGCCATGTCCTCCCCGGCCGCAGTTTCGGGAATGGAGGCTCCTCCATCCATCGGAGCGGCGGAAGACTTGCCTCTCCTGCTGCGGGTGACGCCACGTTCGGAAAGCAACTTCGAAAACTCGGCAGCCACGGTGTGTTCTTTGTGAGGGCCCTTGCTTGCGCAAGGCCTGTGCTTTCTGCATGTGGCTACTCTGGCTACTCTCCTCCCGCCGCCACTACGGCGCAGCTGCGATTTCTTCTTGGGCCCCTTCTTGGGCCTCTTGGAGGCTGGGGAACAGGATGGGCTCGGGAAGACGGCCGCAGGCAAGTCCGGCTTGAAGAGGATCTTCAGCACCTGGCACTCCATGGGCTGCGTCTCGGCGCCGGTGAGGGCCACCGGCTCCCCCGCCTGAAGCATGACGGCGTCGCCCTTCTTCAGCTTGCTTGCCGGGACGTAACGAGGGAGTCCCTCGCAGCCTTCATCAGCAAGTTGCACAGGATGGTCCGAAATCACCCGCAGGGTTGCAAGGCCCGCTTGCAAGTCCACCACTTCCGTCGCTTGCCCTTCCTGCGAGATCTCCACCACTTCCAAGACCGTCTCCCCATCGAGAGCCAGGACCTGCGAACCTTTCTGAAGGTCTATCCCCCGGCAGAGGTCGTTGGAGTCCATATTTGGGCTCTTGAAGATGGCATCCGACATGAAGTGACTCGGGTTTGAGGGGTAGCTTGAGGACTCACTCGGGACGGAGGCCCGATCCGGCTCCTGCTGACCACGCTGACCGCAGGCTGCCTCGGTGGGGGCTGGGCCATGAAGATTCAGGGAGGTATGACTTGTAGGACCTGAGATGACACCAAGCGAACAGCTCTCCGCCTTCCTTGTCTCGGCAAGTTGGCGCTCCAGCCCACGCAGGCGCTCCTTGTACATGCCGATCTCTTCCCGCAGATCTTGCATGAGATCCAGCTTCGCCTCCGCCTTAGCAAGCTGCTGCTGGAGCTGCTCGCAGCGCTCCTGGAGCACCGCCTTCTCAAGCCGCAGCTGGGACTTGCTCCCAACCTCTTCCGCCTCTTCTGCCGTCCCCTTTTCCGAAAGTTCCGGCTCGCTGCGACTCTCAAGTTCCAGCCTTCGCTGCTTTCCAGAGGCATCGGAGGCTTCGGACTCGGCCTCTGCGAGGCGCTTCTTAGTCTTGGCACACTCGGAAGCCTCCTGGCGTTTGCTGTGCTCCTCCGGCAACTGCCGCTGCTGAAGCTCCTTCTGCATCTCCTCTGCCGAGGACTCCGCGGCTGCCGCGCGAGTTGCGAGCTCCTCGCACTGCTGGGCCTTCTCGGACAGCCTGGTCTCTGCCTCAGCAAGGCGGCTGTGTAGCTGCTGGCACTCCTCCTGAGATCTTTGGAGCTCTGCTTGGAGGCGACGGCGCTCCGCGATCTCCTCTGCCAGGCGCTGGCGCTTCTGCGAGGCCTGCTGTGCTGCGGCCTCCCGGGCCTCCCGCGCCTCGCTTTCGGCCCTTACGAGCTCCTCTGCGAGCTGCTGGCAGCGCGTGCGGGTGTCGTGATGCTGCAGATACCAAGCCACCCAATACTCCTGGTCTGCTGCCGTGCCGCAGGGCTTCGCTCGTCGCAGCCCCGAGTCGGAGAAGTGGCTCCAGCCGGAGCCGCACCAGTGCTGGCCGCACTCGGCCGCGGCGTGCCGAAGCAGCGCCTCGCTCAGGAGCTCCGGCCTCGCCATGGGCTTGTCATTCAGCTCCTGCGCGTAGAGCTCCTGGCGCCTTAAAAGCCAGGCCTCGGCCTCCGAAGGCTGGGAGGCCCAGAGCTCCACCAGCCGGCGGAGCACGGAGCAACGAGCCCGGGCCGCGGGGCCGGTGTCTGCAAGACAAGCCGACAACTCCACGAAGGCGTCGATGAGAGTCGCCAGGCTCCAGCCGGCAGGGACTTCGGTCAGGTACACGAGCTCGTTTCCCTCCCTTCCTTCGGTTCCTTGGGCCTGAACCATGGCACGAGCTAGGAGAGCTAGGAGAGCTATAGGGGCCTCAGCGTGGCTGGGAGCTGTGCCGGCTGTGCCTTCCCTGAGCCGGCAATTTAAAGACGTGTTGCAGCGCCCACACGAAAGCCTGCGCACTTCCCTGAAAGCGTCTTGCCAGTTTGAGGCCTCCGTAGCCAAAGCCGCAGCCTGGGCTCAGGGCAGCTCACGAAAGATGCCGGGTAGTTAAGTCAGGGTGCCTGCATTGACGGTGCCGTCTTCGGCCCCTCGCGCAGACTCTTAGGGGTGTTGAATTTGACATGCCTGGGTGTTGCCCTGCACGTGGCATTGCAACCTGTTGAGGTCGGAACCCTGCGAACTCCCCCTGAACCACCAGGCAGCAATGGCACGGACCACGTCTCTGCATAAGGCCCCAGCACTCGCACGGGTGGCACAATACTGGCTCGAGTTCGACACCGCTCGAGGCTGCGATGCCGCGAGATGAGAATGCTAAGTGATGGCATGCGCACAACATATTCTAAGCAGCTAAACATTCCTGCCCTCGTGCTTCTTCCCATCAGCCGCGTGTTGTCTCTCCTGCTGGGCCATGTTGTCACGAGTGCCAACATTCAGTTGGGTGTTCGCCTGGGGAGTTTCAGAAAAAGGCGATTTAAAACGGACTCTGTGATCGCAGGTGGCAGCATCTTTGCTTAGCTGATTGTGAGCCTGCGCCACATCTGAACACTTGCAGGGGCAAGCAGTGCAATACCTCCAAGGTCTGTACAGAGATGCTACACAGTATCTCTAGGCAAAGAAAGGCGGCTTGTTGCGCTGCTCACTCTGGTGGTTGGCACATGCCGGCGTGGCCGACCTGCACATGACCAGTGGACTAAACCCTTCGTTTCAGGTCTCACCGCGGTCGAGTCTACACCTGAACCATGGCAAGTCCGCAAAGACCCGAAGTTCCACCACGAGATTCCTATGACAAGTGTCCACTATAAGTCTCTCTGCAAGATGAGTTTTTTCGAAGAGCGAGAGAGAGAGAGAGAGAGAGAGAGAGAGAAAGAGTGATTCAATACAGAGGCAGCCCAAAAAAACAGCCGAGAAGAAAGCACGCCTCCCTTCTGTGGCTTCTTCGATGCGTCTCAACGCCAAGAAGCACGTTCGTGTTGGTACCTCTGAATGAGCTCCTCGTCATCCATTTCGTCGAACCATTCTTCGCGCTGGATCTCGAGGCCCTCGCAGGCCTTCCCAGACAACGGTGCTAAGCAGACCTTCAGCCCATCAAGAACTGCGCAACAAAGTGGGAAGCCCGCCTGCACAATAAATTGCCCAGACCCGGGCTGTCCCTTCCGCCCCGCCAACTCGCGCTGCAACTCGGGGGAAGGGGGAAAGGAAGGGAGAGGGTGGGAGGGGGGGGGGAATGGGTGGCAGTGGGAGGTGAACAAGACCAGAAGCAAGTGTTAGGTGCTGCAAGATACCCTAAACCCTAAACCCTAAACCCTAAACCCTAAACCCTAAACCCTAAACCCTAAACCCTAAACCCTAAACCGTAAGTTCAGATTTGTCCTTGCTCGTCGGCGGCCAGCTGGAGCAACGAGGCTGAGGAACTGCTGCGTCATCCCAGCTGCACCGGCGGAATTCCAGGAAGGTGTTGTTCACGCGGTACTGCAGCCACTCCTCCTGAGAGCATTTTTCTCTGGGAAGTTGAAAAGACCCTGCTGGCAGACCCACAGAGCCTGTGACATTCTGCAACGCTAAGGACGTCCTGCCTGCGACGTCCCGTGCGCAGATTCGGAAGGGGCTTGTGGGGCTTGACCAACATGCTCAAGCGCACCCCCAACCTCGGCATCTCCGCAGAACATGGCTCGCCGCGCGAGCGAGCGCCAGCACCTGGGGGTCTCACCTCCTCTGCGCAACGCGGACTCGGCGAAGCCTGAGTCTGGGATGTTCTGGGATGACAGAGAGCGCGAGAGCTCCCAGGCCTTGGTTCCAACTTCTGACTCCTGCAGCACGGCAACCTGCTTTCTCTTCGAGTTCTCCAACCCATCCTGGGCATCTGCGCCGCAGACAACATGGGACGCTGAGGCGCCGGGACTGCGGCACCGACGTCTCTATTGGAAGACGAAGCCTCAGCTTGTGGCAACGGGGACGGACAAGGATGGTCTCTGAAGCCTTCCACTCCGAACTGCAGCGCAGCCACATTGCTGTTGCTGCTCCCGCTTTGCGGAGGAAGCGTCTGGTCTGCCTTGGCCCACCCTCTCACTTCTACCATCTTCTACCATAATGCCATAATGGCATTTATGCGGTTCTCTCAGATGTTTCAGGTGTCAGTTTCTGCTGCACCTCCGCACCAAGCAGGGGAGAGGTGGTGAAAGTCCCATTCCACGCGGCAACACAGCAACGGCTAAGCCATCGGTATCCGATTGTCGGTAAAGCGCTTGGATCCGGACGATGCTCCAATTCTCCTCAGCCATATGACAAGTGGGCTTCCAGGTGAATGGAACTTGTTCAAAGCAAGGAAGTGCCACTTTTTTGTAAGGACTTGTCTTCCTGCTCCTGCGCCTTGTCCTTGTCAGGGCGTCAAGACTCCCCAGAACTTTAGCTGCTAATGGTCTATATGTAGGGTCTTTTGGGGCTTCAGGTTTCGGCCAGGATTGACAGGCGTTGGGGTAGAGACTCCACTCTATCGAAGAAAAACGAGTCTAAAGCGGAGCATCAGCAGCAGCAAGGGAGGCTGGGAGCTTTGAGAACAAGCGCTTGTCAAACTCACCGCAGATGCACTTCCCGGGCGCTTAGCATCATGGTGCCAGGGGTGGGGGATGTGAGCATCAACCATCCTCGATTCTGCCAATTCTTCCTGCAGTCGAAGCTCGGGAACGACACACGCGCACCAACAGGCAAGGCTTCAGGGCAGAAGGGCTGGAAGTTTAGGGTTTTGGGTTTACGTTGCGGGGGGCTGAGGGTTCCGAAGCCCAAAGCTCAAGGACAGGTTTAGCCAGGCATCCCCCCTCGTGCAGCAAAAAGCAGGGACTATCGAATTTTGGTGGCCAACTCGCGCTGCAACTCGGGGGAAGGGGGAAAGGAAGGGAGAGGGTGGGAGGGGGGGGGGGAATGGGTGGCAGTGGGAGGTGAACAAGACCAGAAGCAAGTGTTAGGTGCTGCAAGATACCCTAAACCCTAAACCCTAAACCCTAAACCCTAAACCGTAAGTTCAGATTTGTCCTTGCTCGTCGGCGGCCAGCTGGAGCAACGAGGCTGAGGAACTGCTGCGTCATCCCAGCTGCACCGGCGGAATTCCAGGAAGGTGTTGTTCACGCGGTACTGCAGCCACTCCTCCTGAGAGCATTTTTCTCTGGGAAGTTGAAAAGACCCTGCTGGCAGACCCACAGAGCCTGTGACATTCTGCAACGCTAAGGACGTCCTGCCTGCGACGTCCCGTGCGCGGATTCGGAAGGGGCTTGTGGGGCTTGACCAACATGCTCAAGCGCACCCCCAACCTCGGCATCTCCGCAGAACATGGCTCGCCGCGCGAGCGAGCGCCAGCACCTGGGGGTCTCACCTCCTCTGCGCAACGCGGACTCGGCGAAGCCTGAGTCTGGGATGTTCTGGGATGACAGAGAGCGCGAGAGCTCCCAGGCCTTGGTTCCAACTTCTGACTCCTGCAGCACGGCAACCTGCTTTCTCTTCGAGTTCTCCAACCCATCCTGGGCATCTGCGCCGCAGACAACATGGGACGCTGAGGCGCCGGGACTGCGGCACCGACGTCTCTATTGGAAGACGAAGCCTCAGCTTGTGGCAACGGGGACGGACAAGGATGGTCTCTGAAGCCTTCCACTCCATACTGCAGCGCAGCCACATTGCTGTTGCTGCTCCCGCTTTGCGGAGGAAGCATCTGGTCTGCCTTGGCCCACCCTTTCACTTCTACCATCATGCCATAATGGCATTTATGCGGTTCTCTCAGATGTTTCAGCTGTCAGTTTCTGCTGCACCTCCGCACCAAGAAGGGGAGAGGCGGTAAAAGTCCCAGTCCACGCGGCAACACAGAACGGCTGAGCCATCGGTATCCGATGCATTCCCGGCAAAAAAGAGCTTGGAGCTGGACGATCCTCGAAGTCTCCTGAGCCATGTAAGAAGTGGGCTTCCAGGCGAATGGGACTTCTTCAAAACAAGGAAACGCCACTTTGTTTTAAAAGCGTTGGTGAACCCTTTGAACCCGACCCGAAGAGTGTCTTGCGCCTCGTCTTGCTGCTCCTGCTGCTGGTCGTCGCCACGTGGCAGGTCCTGGAGGGCGGACCCTGCTGACAGAGTCTGCGACATTCTGCAAAGTTAGGAGCGTCTTCTCATACGCGGATTCGGAAGGGGCTTGCGGGCTTGACCATACGAGACCGAATAAAACCTCAAGTATCGATGATCCACTGCCTTCCCTTCTCAATTTCTGCAACCTGCTGCAACCTTCGAAGTTCAAAATCAACGCCGTCATCCGTTGAGAGTATGCTATCTACTTCGAACAGCGTGTACTTCAAGGACTTCAGCAGTCGCGAACCTTATCCATAACCTCAGCAAGTGCTGCTAGGCCAGCTATGCGAGTCCAAGCATCAAATCAAAACATCGATATCGTAACTTTGTTTCGAAGCAACTTTCGAAGGAGACGGTAACGGTAGCCAGGAACGGTGCCGGCCCCTATGGCATCGACACAACACGTGTGCGGATCAGCATGGTTTCAAAGTCCCACGAAGTTCTCCCCACACGCTGCGACCTCTTGCAAGAGTGTCTTGGACCCCCCCCAACTGAAGTCGTTGCTGGCGCGGGGTGTTCCGGCCCCGCAAGCTTAGGGGTACCTTCTTGGGGTCCTGATAGTAAGTTTGGGGGGGGCTATACTAAGGGTCCCCAATTTTCGTAAACCCCCATGTGACATGTGACAGCATGGCGCGAACTCTCGGCGAGAAAGTCGCTGAGACTTTGAGCTTGGGCCCCTGCCTTCCATGCCCGAAAGATGTCGCGGACCTGTTACATTTTAGGGATTATAGGGTTTAGGGTTTATAGGGTTTAGGGTTTAGGGTTGTCTCACTTCGTACCATTAGGAGGAGTGACATGAACGAGTGAACAAATAACACGAAGGGACCAAAGCTTTGCGGCAATATCTCGGTTGGTCGACTCACAACGGTCTGGAAACTCATTAACTGGTCTCAAAGTCTCACGAGAACAACTACCATGAGAAGGAACAAGGTTAACAGGTGCATATCCTATAGTGGTCGGTGGCACTTTCGGCCCAAAGAGGGATAGGAAACTGCAGGACCTGAGAGCACCTCGTAAACCTGGAGCTTCTATCTCTTTTCTTGGGTCTTTCTTCTAATTCCTGGAGAGCTTCCATCTCTAGGAAGAAAAGCCCCTTGTTGACCGTAGACATGATGCTCGATGTCATGGGTTTCTATCGCTTGCAGGGTTTCGGTTTCGCCCACATGGCAGTCGAGTAGTCGTAGGCGTGGGAGTATCATGAGGGGTGGGTGAACGGCCGGGATGGGGGGGGGCGGGGGGCAGAAGGACCCGGGGCCCCGGGGGCGGAACGACGCGGGGCGGGACGCAGGAACGGGACGCGGGGACGGGACGCGGGGACGCCGGACGAGCAGGAAATCAGTTCGTGTTAATTGCTTTGTTTGGCAGAGCTGCGGATAGTGGTAGAAGTACTCGTAGCGGCAATAGCAGTAGTAGCAGTGGCAGCAGTAGTAGCAACAATAGTTTGCAGTAGTGGCGGGAGTAGTAGGAGTAACCGCAGTAGTCGCAGCAGTCGCCGTCACAGTCGCAGTCGCAGTCGCAGTAGCAGTAGGAGTGGCAATAGGAAGAAGTAGAAGGTGGTAGTAGTAGTAGTAGTAGTAGTAGTAGTAGTAGTAGTAGTAGTAGTAGTAGTAGTAGTAAGTAGTAGTAAGTAGTAGTAAGTAGTAGTAAGTAGTAGTCAGTAGTAGTCAGTAGTAGTAGTAGTAGTAGTAGTAGTAAGTAGTAGTAAGTAGTAGTAAGTAGTAGTAAGTAGTAGTAAGTAGTAGTAAGTAGTAGTAAGTAGTAGTAAGTAGTAGTAAGTAGTAGTAAGTAGTAGTAAGTAGTAGTAGTAGTAGTAAGTAGTAGTAGTAGTAGTAAGTAGTAGTAAGTGTAGTAGTAAGTAGTAGTAAGTAGTAGTAAGTAGTAGTAAGTAGTAGTAGTAGTAGTAAGTAAGTAGTAGTAAGTAGTAGTAAGTAGTAGTAAGTAGTAGTAAGTAGTAGTAAGTAGTAGTAAGTAGTAGTAAGTAGTAGTAAGTAGTAGTAAGTAGTAGTAAGTAGTAGTAAGTAATAGTAAGTAGTAGTAAGTAGTAGTAAGTAGTAGTAAGTAGTAGTAAGTAGTAGTAAGTAGTAGTAGTAGTAGTAGTAGTAGTAGTAGTAGTAGTAGTAGTAGTAGTAGTAAGTAGTAGTAAGTAATAGTAGTAGTAGTAGTAGTAGTAGTAGTAGTAGAAGAAGCTAGTAGTAGTAGTAGTAGTAGTAGTAGTAGTAGTAGTAGTAGTAGTAGTAGTACTTGGTAGTAGTTGTTGTTGTTGTCGTCGTAGTAGTCGTCGTCGTAGTAGTCGTAGTGCTAGTACTAGTTAGTAGTAGTCATAGTAGTCGTAGTGCTAGTACTCTAGTAGTGGTCGTACCAATAGTACTGGTACTACTGGTAGTACTGGTAGTACTGGTAGTACTGGTAGTAGTAGTAGTAGTAGTAGTAGTAGTAGTAATAGTAGTAGTAGTCGTCGTCGTAGTAGTAATAGTAGTAGTAGTAGTAGTAGTAGTAGTTGTTGTTGTTGTTGTAGTAGTAGGACACTTAGTAGGAGCAGCAGCAGCGGCGGCGGCGGCGGCGGTGGTGGTGGCGGTGGTGGTGGTGGCGGTGGTGGTGGTGGGCGTAGTGTAGTAGTAGTAGTAGTAGTAGTAGTAGTAGTAGTAGTAGTAGTAGTAGTAGTAGTAGTAGTATAGTAGTAGTAGTAGTAGTAGTAGTAGTAGTAGTAGTAGTAGTAGTAGTAGTAGTAGTAGTAGTAGTAATAGTAGTAGTAGTAGTAGTAGTAGTTGTAGCAGCAGCAGCAGCGTCGTCGTCGTCGTCGTACCGCTAGTCTTCGTACCAAGTGTTTTCATGCTGGCCAAAATGTTTTGATGGAAGGTTTTTCGATGCTGGGCGGAAGGTTTTGCGATGCTCGGCAGCAGGGCTTTTCGTTGCTCGCCGGAAGGGATCGTTGCCGCCGGAGCGGGATCGATGCTGGCAGGCGGTTTACGTTGTCATCTTTCGCTGTTATGAGACGTCTTTCCATGTCCGCTGGTGGTTTTTCGCTGTTCGCCGTTAACCTCACGGCTCGGGTGTGATACCTGCACTGATGGGTGAGTGCCTAAATCCGTGGGTGAACGCGTGGTTATGGTGGTGCGGACCCGTCGTATCAACCTAGTGCTGGTAGCAGCTAGAGGAGTAGCTGGAGCACACAAAAAGTCTTCGACATTTCTTTTCCTTCGTCTTCACATCACAGCTAACTTCCGACAAGCAACTTTGAGAGATGGGTAGAGCCACCAGAGTTGTCCTTCACCTGCAAGACGAACCACGTGTTCCTCCATCTCCTCCTCAGCTGCTGGGATGCATGTCAAAGTTTCTAACCTTTAACCAACTTAGGCATCCTTAGAAAACAGGTGATATTGAAGCGTTGGATGACTGAAAGCTACATGCTAGAACCAAGCCAGAGAAGCCTCAGAAATAGAAAAGCCTTGCATCTTCTTCTCCTTGTCCTCCTGACAACTGCTTGGGCACATGTGCTGTGCCCGTGTCACATTCTGCTGGCGTGATGGATGAGGTCCACTGCATGCTTACACATACACTCGCACTTGCCCATGCTTACGGGCGAAACAGGCGGAGTGTGTCAACAGAAAGATGCAGTCTGGGATCAAAACAACCAGACATTGCGGAAACAGCGAACTATAAACAGAAACAGTTTTGTGCGCCTTTCCTGGTGCTTTGTTGGAGCTTAATTGCGCACATGTGGTGGAAACGACTGGCTCTCTAAACGAAATTTGCAAACCTCCCACCTTTGCGGTCAGCTTTCTTGCCAGCTGGAAAGGGCAGATGCCGACCTGCAAACGATACATATACGGATACGCCGCATGAAGTTCATAAGATGCAGTGGGCATGGAAACCGGTACTGCAAACTGATCTCTGCCGCTTGCCCCGCTTGCCCCATTATTTGCTCTGTTCGCAAGCGAAACCCAATATGCCCCATTGCCCCACTAAACTTGCCCCACCCCACTTGCGGGGTGGGGAGCGTAAAGCAACCTCAGATATTCGAGACGGCTGCCTCAGAATGAGGCAGACTTGTGGTTTCAGGCGGCGGGGGGGAGGGGGGCGCCCACGTGTGCCGCTTTGCATCCCACGTACTGTCTTAGAATAAGCTCTTCGAGAAAATACGCGGGGCTCGGGCAAAAAGACTTGACAGCTCCCCCTCTCTGCTCCCCATGAGATGGCAGCAACTGTCTACTTGCGCGCGCCCCGGCGCGTTCATAGGGTTCAGGGTTCAGGGCTTAGGGATTCTTATCCGCTGCAGGAACGACCTCCCAGCCAGAAGCTGCGAGCCTCGACAATGAGACCGGAGGCTGGGGGCTGCTTGTAGACCTTGAGGAAGGTTTCTGCAGCCAGCCACCACCCGTCCACAGGTCGAAATAGAACACGTTTGCGAGTTTCGCGCTTCTCATACAAGAGCCGCCGCAGCAGATCATCCACTTCATCGGGGAGGAGCTTGCTGACATACACCTCTCAACAAAGGCTGCCTTTGGTTGAAGCCCCAAGCTCAAACAAACGTACTTGTTGTGGGACCAGGAGGGCCTTTCAGCCGTTTTGAAACATGCTTGGGGGACGACATGCACATAAGAATAGATCGGAGAGCACAGGCATCGTGTGAGCGCAACTAAGGCTAGCCGTCTGTCTCAAAAGTCAACACTGTGACCTTGCAAGTACATCTTCAACACACACACACACAAATACACACACAAAGCAGTCGTCCAACCTTGCTCGGTATCTGCGCCAAACTTGCTTCAATCACCTGAGTCTATTATAATATAATATATTATATTATATTAAAACATAGTGTCCATATTTTACTGTATTGTATTGTGTTATATCATACTTAATTTTATATTATATATTATGTTGTGAGCAGGTCTAAGCACGCACGTTGCATGTGCAGAGCTGCCAGAACCAGTACTGTAGTTTTCTTTGCATGTGTAGGTTTGCAATTCGTTTCAATGCCAATTTTGGCTCAAGTACCGAGCTTGTGCCTTTGAGCACGGTAGTGTCGTACAGTAGCTCTTAGGTTGCTGTGCGGTCCGACCGGACGCACTCAGGCGTAGCTGCACAAGTGCTTGAACTCGCGAAGTCGTAAAACAGCGTGGCCGGGCTGTGATTGCATTGGCTTAGTGCAAGTCCAGAACCGGTCGACTTCACAATTGGGGGCTGTTCTGGGAACGTACAGCTCTTGTGCCTACGGCCCGAGTGGGCAAGCATTGCTTTGCTTGTCTGTCGCGGTCCGTGACCTGGACGCGTGGACTGTGTGCCACGCTTGCGGCCTGTTAACCAAGGCGCGGCGCTTCGCGTGCCACGCCTGCGGCCTGCTAACCAAGGCGCGGCTTTTCGCCTTGTGTGGCGGCGATGTCCGCAGAGGTAGCAGGTCAGGCTGAGGGCGTCACCCTCCTCGAAGCTATCGAGGGTGGAGACGTTCCCTATCCCGAGCGGATGAGCTACGTCGCTTGGCTTAAGTGGCGTAGGGAGACTGGCAGCCGTCCATTGTCCAAGCGGGATGGGGTCAGCACTACGCCAGAGCAAGAGGCGGCTCTCTGGCGGAAAGTCATGAAGTTCCTCCATGACGTCGAAGAGGAGGACGAGGATGAAGAGGAAGAAGAAGAGGACTCCGAGCTAGTCCCTGAGGCCTCGGGCGCTGGAGGCGACAGTCCGCCGCGGGTGGACGTCAGCGCCGCGGCTAGGGAGCTGGCCATGGTCCCTACCGGTGCTGCCTATGTCCCTGCTACGGCACCAGGGTCCCGCCCGGCGGGACCGTCCGGTCCGCCGTCGACAGCAGGTTCGGTGCCAGGCACCGCAGAGGGCTTGCAGGCGGAGCTGCGCGCGATTTTCCGTCCAGACCAAGAACCGGTCGCGGACTACTTGACGCGCGTTTCGCGGATTGTCCTCGCGCTGAAGGCGCATGGAGTCACGGTGAGCTCCCGTGACCTTGACGCCTTAAGCACCAAAGCCACCCTCCTTGCGGATGAGTTCTCCAAAATAGGCGGGGACTGGCATCCGACAAAGATGGTCCGTCGGCTGCGGACCAGATTCTCGGTCGCGGCTTTGCGCGGTGGCGAGGACCCCGAAGACGCAGAGGAGATTCAGCGCGAAATCCAATGCATCGGGGAGCTTATCCTCGCGTTAGGGGGAAAAGAAAGCTCGAGCCAAGAGAAGGTTTGGAGTTCCCCGTCCGATGTGCCAGTTGAAGCCGTGGGGCCGCGTTCCCCAGGGCTCCCACAGCCTGCGACTGCAAGTGGGTTGGGGGTAGGATTGGACCGTGGGGGTTTGCACACTGCAGAGGTTGCAGGTGGTCCTTCCGCGGCCCGTGACCTGGGCGCGACGGACGGCGATTCCCCTTTGCGCGCGAAGCTTGCGGCGCTGGAGATGGAGATAGAAGCCCTGAAGCGAGGTTCAGACGGCGGAGGTTCGCAGACCGGGTCCCAAAACCCGGCGGGCGATTTCGCCGCCGCACTCGCCGCCCAAACTGAAGCGCTGAAAGAAGCGTTAGCGCAGAGGGGCGGGCAAAGCTCCATAACTACGGTCAAAACTGACCTCACGTGGCCGACGCTGACCGACGACAAGTCGGACGCGCGAGACGTTGTCCTGTTCTACGAGGAGTTCGAGGACGTCTGCGCGCTGGCCAACAACTGTCGCGGTATGAGTGCGCGCGAAAAGCTGCTAGCGCTGCGCGGGCGCTGCCGCGGCTCGCGCATGAAGACGTACACGAACGCGTACCGCGCAGCGTGGAAGTCGGGAGAGGTTCTCTCCGATCCACAGGCGGTGTACGACCGCATCAAGAACAAGCACTTGATGTTCGGGGAATCGCGGGAGGAAAGAGAAGTCCGCGTGGATGGTGAGCATGCCTCCCTCGCTAAGGGCAAGCTCACAGGCCACCAATTCGAGCCTTTGTTTGAGGCATCGATCGCGGACCTTGAGGCGGTGGGTCTTGGGAAGACCCCACGAGAGTTGTATCTCTCGTACCTCCGCAAGATGCCCCCGTATCTCCAAAAGGAGATACGGAACGACAAGCGGTTGTGGCCCGGCGATCCCAAGGATGGCGGGCTGCGAGGGCCGCAGACTTGGGAGGAGAGCCACAAGGTCGTCTTGGAGTACGAACAGAGGGAAGCAGCTCACCGGGCTGTTTCCCACTCTGTGTACTCAGCGACCGGCTCTCCGAGCGCGGACCCGTCGGTCGCGCTAGCCGAGGCTCAGAAGGAGATTAAGAGCCTCAAGGCCGCCGCCAAGGCTGCTGCGAAAGGAGCAGCTGCCGCGGCCAAAGCTGGCGCGGACCAGACGTTTGCCGCTGCGTCGAAGGGAGCTGGCAAAGGAGCGGACAAGAAGATCTGCTTCCACTTTCGCGACCACGGGAATTGCCCGAAAGGGGATGCCTGCCCGTACAGCCACGACAAGGAGCTTCGCAGAAAAGCTCTCGCGGCCAAGAAGGGTGACCAAACCTTTGCCACTGCGAAAGGTAAGGGCAAGGGGAAGGGAGGTGGCAAGGCAAAGGCCAACGCAAAGCCTAAGGCTGCGGCCAAAGGCGCGGCAAAGCCACCAGGCACTGTTTGCCCCTTTTTCTCCAAGAATGGGTCGTGCAAGAAAGGAGCCAGCTGCGACATGGTCCACAACCTGACGACCTCAGGAGGGACGCCGGCCTTGCCTGCCAACTGGGCCGCGCCCTCCGGTGCTTCCATGTCTAACCCCTTCGCCGCGTTCAGTGTCCAGATAGGCAGCTCAGGCGTCCAGGCAGGCGTCTTAGGAGCCGCAGGACGCGCCGCGGTGCAGCAGCACGCGCTTCCGTTGAGCAAGGGCGGGCGGGACAAGTTCGCCACCCTGGACGATCTGCCGGAACCTGGCGGACAACGAGCCAGGAGGCTACCAGTACAGGACGGTAGTCCAGGTACTGGACCGTAAGGTCGAGTGCATGCTCGACGGATGCGCCGGCGCGAACCACGTGACCGAGGAACTCGTGGTGGGCATGATGAACCGGGCTGCAGAGCTGGGGATCGGCACGGAAGATCCCGGCTTCCCGGTCGTGAGACTCGAAAAGTGGGTCCACCCCGAATACGTGCATGGCATCGCTTCGGGAGCCCCCGTTCCTCTGAAGGGGGCAGCAGTCTTGCGCGTCACGCTGCTGGAAGGCAGGACGGCGGACGACTGTCGCCCCAACACCGAAATTTTCGTGCGATGCAAAATCGCAGCCAGGGGGACGTCCGATTGGCACGGACTTATCCTCGGCGGCAGAGCGTTGGACTGCGCCGGAAGGATGGGCCTGGGATTCAGGCCGGGTCCCGACTTTCACGTCCTCGACACGCTGGGAATCAGGATGCCCAGATGTGAGGATCACAGCAAGACCCGGAAGGACAGGGCCTATGCCTTTGAAGCGCGGTTGTCAAGCCTGGACGACGCGTCATGCACCGAGCCTGGGGGCGGAAGTCGTGAGCTTCTCCGCTATGACGGGGAAGAGCCGCTCGAGCTCTCGCCAGGTGATGGGGTGCTGGTGCCAGTCGTGCGGGAGGCAGGAGTCTCCGCAGAGGGATCCCTGTCCGAGGTTGTGCTTCCGGTTGAGTTGAGGCTGTGCCAGGTCTCTGGCCCACAGGAGAGGGTAAAGGGTTTGTTTTGCTTGCAGCCCAAGAGTGTGATCACTCTCTCCAGCCGGGCGAGGTTGTTGCGGAAGTGCGTTCCGGCCTCGTCAGTGCGGCTTGTGGTTGTGGCGCGATTGAGACGGTGTTCGAGTCGGAGCCGTCTCCGCAGGCATGTGCGGATTGTGGGGTCGCCGTTGCTTCGGTTGACCATGACCCGTGCTTTGCTTGCGGGTCCGCGTCCAGGGCCGCGGCAAGAAGCTTCCAAGGTTGTTCCTCGTGCGCACGGTCCTTTGGGCGGCTGCGCACCGGCGCCAGGATCGGTGTGCTATCGGTCCTCGCTGCGGTGACTGTTCTCGCTTCGGTGTGGGGCGGGAGCGGCCCGGTTGGGCGCCCTGTTGAGGAGCCTGGAGTGCTTACTTGCTTGGACCACCTTCCAAGCGTCGACAGCTGGTGGGAGGCGCCAGGTGGTTACGCGTCTGTGTGGGGTAGGCGCCCTGCGCAGAAGGACCTTGGGACCCTGGCGGTCGAGAAGGCGCCTTACGAAACGTGCTTGCTTCAGCGCGCAGGTGAGGCGTGGCGTCTTTGGGACACGAGGGATTTGCGTGTGGCGGAAAGCGTTGCGTGCAGCGATGAGGTTCCCGTCACCGAACGCCTCGCGGTCTTTAGGACGCGCAAGGGGCCACGCTGGGCTGGCTGGCGTGAGGGATCGGCCACGGCTGGAAGAGGCGCAAGTGACGCTGTGCGCCCAGCAGACGCGGTCGACACGGCGCGCTGCCCGAGCTATCATATCGTGGAGAGCTGGGATATCGACAAGATGATCGAAGAGCCTCCAACGGACTACTATTATGAGAAGCTCGCGGCAGATATGCGCGCCCGGCACCCTAAGGCGTGCCCGCACCTCCTCGACCACCTCGTTTCCTTAGAGGGTTTCCTAGACAAGTCAATCTTGTTTGGGTTCTCTTTTGGGATTAGCAAAGCCGAAGTTTGTGTCTCCAAAGGTAAACTCCTAGGACACAACATTGGGCGGGACGGGAGTTCGCCTGACGAAGAGCGTTGTCAGGCGGTGATTGACTTTCCCCCGCTCTGGGAGAAGCTTCACATTCAGCAATTTTTGGGTTGCGCAAATTGGTTGCGCGGCTACCTGCCTGTTGAGTATGGGCACGCAGCCAAGATTTTAGGGCAG